GTAAAGGTATTACAAACCCTGTAATATTATATAAGCACTCTGGAAACTCCTCAATCCATACTTCTTCCTCCCTCATCTCTTTAGCCACACGTGCAACGGCATGAGCATCCCTATTGGCTTCTCTTTTGACATGTTGAAATCCCTCACTACTTTGGTTGCAAACATTAAGAGATATGATTTCGTTTGGCAGCGCTTTTTAGTTTTTTACTTTTTGATTTTTATGTTTTTTTTAATATATAATTATTAATTATAAAAAATAAAAAATATATTAAATATATTTTACATATTTTTACAATATTAAAGGATGAAAAAACTTATCACTATTGTTGTTGCAGAGAACTTCAAAGTGCTCCTAAACTCAAATCTTCACTTCAGCTAGTCTGCAAAGCCTCGGGGTTAGTTTTCGAGATAGACACTTCAATACTTAAGTTAGTCGTAATCAAAGCTACTAGATATGAAGCGAGGTCTTAACTTAAGATTGGTTTTTAATCACCTTTGAAGGAGGACCCTTGGGAGGTATTTATAACTTTCAAGGGGGCATTCATGTGTTGTTCTTTATGGGCAATCGAGATCATATGCGTCAATAATCATAGAAACCTCTCATGAAAAATCCATGCATGTACGGAGTTAATGTAAAGTAAGGATAAAGGGGATAAGCTTAAGATCGACTAAGCTTATCGAGTTTCAAGTAACACCTTAAGGCAACCTGAGGTTGAGAATAGCTCAGAGAGTCCGAGGTGGATCACCTCGCACTACCGACATAACAACTATAGCTATAAACAAGCACGGTTAAATTAAGCCATGGTGTATGCCTATATGGTCTCTTTTGCCCTTTTTTATAGTTCCTGCAACCCTGCTGTGCTCCTTTCTTTTCTAAATTTTTGAAGTCTAGGCTTAATAACATTATAGAAGTCGAGTCTAATACATCTTAGAGAGCAAAAGTTACAGTCATGGTCACACTTAAAAGTGCCCCATAATTTTTTGTATTATATTTTTAAAATATTAACTCAATTTAATTTAACTATTATAAATATTAATAACTATACTTTTTAATTAATAATAAAAGATGTTAGATAGCTCAAGTCAACAAAGCTATCAACCTTTTCAAGCAAGAAGAGGGAGATTTCCTCCTTGTAGACACTGCCAAAAAACCAACCATGAAGAAAGGAGATGTTGGTTTAAAAGAAAATCTCAAATCCAGTGTAAATTTTGCAAAAGATATGGCCATATGGAAAGAGATTGCAAAGCTAAACAAGCTCAACGAACTCAACAAACACAGCAGCCTCAGTACAGACCAAAGCAATAGCAAAAAGCAAATTATGTTGATGAACATGCATAACAAAATTACTTGTTTGTAGCTTCCTCGAGCAGCTTTTCAACTTTTGCCAGTTCTTGGTATATTGACAGTGGTTGTACAAGCCACATGGCTTAAGATGAAAGTATCTTCTTGGACTTGGACAAATAGTGAAAACAAGTGTCAAGCTTGGAAATGGCACTGTGGTTGTCTCACAAGGAAAGGGAACAGTAGCAATCCCAACAAGTTCAGGTACTTAGTTTATTTCAGATGTGTTATTTGTGCCCAACTTGAGTCAAAATTTGTTGTTTGTTGCTCAGATGATGAAGAAAGGCTATTCTTTGTCATTTAAAACTGATTTTTGCTATATTCATGACTCTTTTGGAACGGAGGTTGCTAGAGTTAAGATGGTCTAGAACAGGTTTCTTTTAGATATGCAATCTGTTTAGAAATGCTTGCATGCTTCTAAAGCCAATGATACACTTTTGTGGTGTAAGAGATATGGCCATTTTAATGTCAAAGCATTGAAATACATGCAAACTAATGAATTGATCAGAGACTTTCCAAAAGTGCATGTAACCAATGAAGTGAGTCAATGCTACCACCTTGGAAAAATGCATCGGCTATCATTTCCTGCCAACAAGGCATTTAGAGCTTGTGAAAAGCTAGAGCTTGTGAAAAGCTAGAGCTTGTCCATACAGATATTTGTGGTCCCATGAAAGTTCCTTCTTTGGGCCAAAACAAGTATTTCATTCTATTCATTGATGATTTCACTAGAATGACTTGGGTTTACCTTTTAAGTAGCAAAGCTCAAGTGTTCTTAGTGTTCAAGAAGTTCAAGGCCTTGGTTGAAAACCAAAGTGGATGCAGAATTAAGAAGCTCAAATCAGACAATGGTAAAGAATATACCTCTGCTGAGTTTAATAATTTTTGTGAAGAGGCCGGCATCCAACACCAACTTACAGTCAGCTATACTCCAGAGCAGAATGGAGTTTCTGAGAGAAAGAACAATACAGTTATGGAAATGGCCAGGTGCATGATGTTAAAGAAGAAGCTATCGCAATCTTTTTGGGTTGAAGCTGTGTATACAACAATATATCTATTGAATGGTGTTTCCACTAAAGTTGTCAAGGATAAAACACCAATTGAAGCTTAGTATGGCATGAAGCCTTTTGCAAATCATTTAAAAGTTTTTGGTTCAGTATGTTATACTCATATTCTTGACATTAAAAGAGGAAAATTGGACCAGAAAGCAAATGTGGGAATTTTTGTGGGATATTCCACTCAGTTAAAAGGCTATAGAGTTTATGACATTCAGACCAAGAAAGTCAATGTTTGTTGAGATGTGACTTTTGATGAAGTAGCCTTTTGGACTTGGGAAGTAGAAAAAGTTGAAAAAATAGATGATGTGCAGAAAAATTTTGAAAGTTCAGCAAGCTCCAGCATGCCTTCAAATATAGAGATTGTTGAAGTTGATGATGACTCTCCAATTTTGAAGACAAATTCCTTGTCTGAAGTGTATGAGAGTTGTAATTTGGCTATTTTAGAACCATCAAGTTATGAAGTTGCTACAAAACAAGATGCTTGGTTGCAAGCCATGTAGGAGGAGATAGCTATGATAAAGAAGAACAAAACCTGGTATCTCACAAAAAGGCCTCAAGACAAAAATGTTGTTGGGGTAAAATGGGTTTACAGAACAAAGTTGAATCCCAATGGGTCTGTTCATAAATACAAGGCCAGGTTGGTGGTCAAAGGCTATGCTCAAGAGCCTGGAGTTGATTATGGTGAGACTTTCGCACCAGTAGCCAGGCATGATACAATTAAACTCCTTGTTGCATTAGTTGCAAATTTGGGTTGGAAAGTCTATCATATGGATGTTAAATCAGCCTTCTTGAATGGAATCCTAGAGGAAGAAATTTATGTTGAACAACCTCAAGGTTTTGAAGTTGCAGGAAAAGAGGACTATGTGTATAGGCTTAACAAAGCCTTATACGGTCTGAAACAGGCACCAAGAGCCTGGTACAACAGAATTGATGATTATCTTCTACAACAAGATTTCAGGAGGAGCGAAAATGAGGCTACTTTATATGTCTAGGGCACTAATTTTGATTCTCAACTAATAGTGTCTTTATATGTTGATGATTTACTATTAATAGGTGGTAACGAGCAGCTCTTAAACAATTTTAAGCCTAAAATGATGAAGGAGTTTGAAATGTCAAATTTGGGTGAGATGAAATACTTCCCTAGAATGGAAATTCAGCAATGTAAAAATGGCATCTTTCTGTCTCAAAGAAAGTATGCACTTGACGTATTGAAGAAATTTGGAATGGAAGACTGCAAGCTAGTGGCAACTCCCTTGGTTCTCAATGAAAAATATATGATTGATGATGGAAAAGAGAAGGCAGATTCTTCTCATTACAGGAGCTTAATTGGTAGTCTACTATATTTAACAGCTTCAAGGCTAGATTTAATGTATTCAATAAGTCTTCTTTCCAAGTTCATGTCCTCACCCAGTCATACTCATTTTTCAACAGCTAAACGAGTTCTCAAGTACCTAAAAGGAACTTTTGATTATGGTATCTGGTATGAAATGGGTTGCAAATGAAGGCTTGAAGGTTATGTTGACAGTGATTGGGCTGGTTGTGAAGATGATATGAAGAGCACAATTGGTTATGTCTTTTCTTTTGGTTTTGGAGCATTTTCTTGGATTTCAAAGAAGCAAGATGTGGTAGCACAACCCAGCGCTAAAGCAGAATATGTTGCAGCATCTGCAGCTGCAAATCAAGTTGTATGGTCAGGTATTTGTTAGAATGCCAATGCCAAATATGACATATTCCTATCTTTATGGGTTTAGCCTTGAAGCTGATAAAGAAGAAGAAACCTTTTATCTTTCTTATGCTCTTGGTACTGATAAATATTTGTTAGACCTTTTCATGGGTCCAGAAGGAATATCAATTGAACGATTTTGGAATTGGACTGATTACTAGGAACACGATAAGATTGTATGGTCTAATCCACAAAACGAATGTGAAGTTTATGGAAAGTGTGGGCCATTTGGAAGTTGTGATTCTCAGAAACCAACAATTTGCAGCTGTTTGAGAGGTTTTGAACCCAAGAATAGAGAGGAATGGAACAGAGGATTTTGGACTAGTGGTTGCGTTAGGAGTACAATATTGCAGTGCAATAGAACAAACAACAGTAGAGAAGTAGGTAAGGAGGATGGTTTTTTGAAGCTAGAGATGATGAAAGTGCCAGACTTTGCACAGCGGTCA